AAGGCTGAAAAGGCATTCAACGTTGCCTATGATCGGTCAAGAAGTCCGCCATGTTGAAAAATAGGTGTGGCCACGCCCCAAAAGGGCGTGGTTTCGCAAAATTTTGCAGCGCACTTTGCACGCCACACAGCTTGCCCCCTCTTTCCAAAAATCCTGGCTACGCCACTGTCAATGGTCAATTAAATAATTATGTATTAATACAATACTTATACTACTGAAGGTATGAATATCATTATATTAGTACCAACATTGTGAGTAGTGTAATGGGTCTGGTTACTAACACTAGACCATACCCACTCTGATCTACCGTATAGCTCCAAAATTTTGAGGCTGAAAACTTCCGCGAATTTTGCAGTTTTGGCCTCAAATTCAAAAGTTTTCATCGCAAAAATTTTAAGGGGTGTGGTCAAGTAGGCATGGGTTTGCCTTAATTAATTGAGCACATGTGTCTTTACTGTCTTAAAATGGCCTCTATCAGTTGTATCTTGAAGAAAGAAGGCCAAAACTCTCTTGTAGTCATGCTTTTCATTTGCTTGATGCTATGGGAGCTCTCCCAATCTTCAAGTATGGAGCTGCTAGCTGGGCCATTCGCGAAAGTTTTAATCGCGAATATCTCTCTTTTCACTCATTCGTGAAAGTTTTTACCCTCAAAAGTTTTGAGCTATATGGTATCTTACTTCTCAATGTCCTTTCAATGTACAATGTGCCACCATCTGTAACCACCACACCTTCCACTGGTATAGTATAATGTAGTCTATAAACAGCATCAAGTGAAGCATGTACTGATATATTGCAGGAGGGAGGGTCAGGATAACCAGGTGTACCAACCTTATCAACATTACTTCTATATATCTATTGATACACCCACACACATTAATTATAACATATATATGATACAAGCACTTACTCTACAAGGTACTGTGTCAGGTTTAATAATCCATCCAGTGGTTTGCTTAATTTGTGGAGTATCAAACTTTAATTCAATATAATCACCTCTTGATGTAAGTGTAGAGTCTTGCTGCCGGACAAATGTAAAGAAGATATTATAATGTATCCAAGCTCTAGGGTGCTTCCTTCCAATATACTGTAAATAAACACATTAATACACATCATGTACATAATATACTTCATTATAATATATTTACATCATGGATTGTGTTTTCATTTTTAGCTACAGTAAATATTGCTACATATTCATTTAAACCTTTCTCCTCATATAATAACCATCCTTCATATTTAGTATTCCTTCCTAATGTAAAGTGAATTAAAGTGAATCAAACACTAACGCTTGATACTAACACAAGAGCTAACCTGATCCACCAGTGGCCATCTTGACAGTTCACTCCCACACAACAAACTATTTACTGATCACATGACACAAACTTATCACAACAACCAAATTGAACCAATCAATAACATTAAAAACTAAACACATTACAATAGACTCACATAACATCTTTTATTAAATAGATCTATATATTAAATTATAATAATCTGTTTTAATAAATTCATTAATAATATCATCAACAGTATGAGACAGAGTATCTTTAAGTGAGGATCATCAACACTAATAATAATAATAATAATAATAATAATGAATATTAATATATTGTATAATGGTGGTAACACATACTGTACTCCAGGAGGACTGAACATGTACACATAATACTTGATCTTCAGTTCAGTCCCTGAGGCCCTCAAAGTGAACTCACAATTATTATCCAAAGACAACATGATCATCTGACTACCAGGATCAACTGGTAATACCTGTTTGGAATACTAGTAATACCCACTGGTATTATAATACTAGTAAACCTGTTTGACAGGTTATACTCACTGGTTTAAATAGTGAGGAGGTCTGGTACTGTCATACCCAACAGTAATATCACATACACTAGTAACACCAGCTGGACCACAAGTACTGGGATACTGATACTGTAGGAGAGAGAGAGAGAGAGAGAGAGAGAGAGAGAGAGAGAGAGAGAGAGAGAGAGAGAGAGAGAGAGAGAGAGAGAGAGATTAAATAAAAGTGTGACATTAGATTTAAGAGAGGACACTACACACAACTCTTGTCGATAGTCAGACGTCAGAGTGTTGGCCACAGTCGGTTGATGCTCCTAGTCTGCCTACCCGCCTAGGCTTCTTTCCTGGCTATCTACCTAGCATCCCGCCCTTGACCCTCTTTTCACGACTCAGAGACACCAACTGTCGTCATACCATGTGACAATATAAACAAACTTTTACAATTACTGTGTTAGCATGAAGCCGTGGTGAACAGCAGGCTAGGCAGTCCAGTCTTGAGAACTGGAACTGGGGGTTAAAACGTTTTTAATGGCCAAACTCTCACCTCCCTGCCTGCCTTAAAAAGCTGTTGTTACCAATATGGCTTGTACAGTTACATGTGTGCTGACACTAGATATACAGGGCCTATGCTTATTATCTAACACAACTGGGCTTACCACTACATACTGGAAGGTATTGGTTTCCCTTCTCCTGGCACTATAAACTTGACATGTGCTTGACCATGTGCCTTAGGTGATTATTATTTATCAGGTGATATTATTAATTAAGGCTGGGTTTTGGTTTGGCACTTAATGAATTATTTATGCATTGACATGTACATGTAAAACATATGCTCAGAGGGGGAGAGAGAGAGAGAGAGAGAGAGAGA